AAAGTAGGAACAAGGTCCTCAAGGCGCTAGCCGGCAGCACTTGGGGTGCGGATAAGGAAACCTTGTTGACCTCTTATAAAGCGATAGGTCGGTCTGTGGTCAACTATGCGGCTCCAGTGTGGTCGGCGAATACAAGTGCAACGCAGTGGAAATGTATTCAGACCTGCCAGAATGCCGCCCTGAGAACTGCAACAGGATGCCTCCTCATGACGCCTGTGGACCACTTACATGAGGAGACGAAGGTTCTTCCCTTACGTCAGCATAATCATATGCTTTCGTTGCAGTACCTGCTTGGGTGTTATCGCTGGAGTCACCCTAACCACCATATGGTGGATAGAACTCCCCCACCCAGGCGTGTCAGGAAGGACCTGCACGATCTAGAGAGAGAGGTCCAGCGATATAAGAGAGAGCCTCTAGATCATGAAGCCTATCAAGCAGGTCTGAATAGCATTCATACTGATGCAGTCGCAGAGGTAGTCAATAATTACAGTATGAATGCCATACTCGGAGTCCACCCCCCATCCATTGCAGCTGAAGAACGTCGGCTGCCTAGGCAAACCAGGGTAGTTTTGGCCCAACTACGTTCAGGATGGTGCAGCCGTCTCAATTCGTATTGGCACGAATTGATGAGGATGTGCGGAACGCCTGCCCAGCGTGCGATACAGGCCCGCACAACACGCTGCATTTGTTTAATTGTCCTGCCAAGCCTACTCAACTCCGTCCAGAGGATCTATGGCTACAGCCCATAAAGGTAGCAGAATTCCTAAACCTGGACATTGAGGAAGAACCGGATTAGTCGAAAAAAAAAAACAACAGAGCGTGTAAAACTGCTACAACAACAACAACAACAATCCCACGGCAGCGGGTTCTACGATACCGGATTGACCCGAAACAACAAAATTCCAGTTTCGGCCAGCGGCTGCCAACCCAGTATGTACATGTTTGTGTTTGTTTATTTTTCTGCATTGGGAGCAGCATATCCCGGAATGCTTGCTCCGGATTTTATTGGTCCGTGCCGGGATTGAGGAAAACCCCGGACCTTGGTTCTGCTCGGTTTGTCAAAACGTCATCCACCACAGATCTGTCTCGGTGCGATGTAATGGATGCAGAGAGTGGGTGCACTTCAAGAACTGTTCCGGATTAAGGCGTTTGTGAGACTACAGCGAAAGAGATTATGTTGCGACTTGCTGCAGTAACGTAGTCCCCAGCGAGTCCTCTTCTTCGTCGTCCTCGTCAGAGACGTCGTCGGAGTATGGCACTCCACCGCAGTCTCCAGAACAGCAACCAACACCGCAGCACCTAACGCCACATGTTGCTGTTCCAACTCCGGATTGTGCATCATTCTTGCAATTCAATTGCAACGGACTTCGAGGCAAAATAGATGAGATAGTGGAATTTATGAGTCGGAGGAATATTAAGATCGCAGCGGTGCAGGAAACCAAGCTGAATGAAAATTGCAGCCTACAACGTTGTTATGGTTACAACGTACTAAGGAAGGATCGCACCAGAAGTGGAGGTGGGGGATTAGCGTTCCTGTTACACCATTCTGTTCAGTACAGACCTATCTCGCTTGAGCTAGTCTCTAGTGACCCATACATGGAATGTATGGGGGTAGCAGTCAAGTGTGGAACTGCCGGGGTAGAGGTGCTTAATGTGTATATCCCGCCGATTAATAGCTGTGAACCGCGTTATTTGCCTGATATTAGCCCATTATTGGTAGGCAATAACCGCCTGGTACTAGGGGATTTTAATGCCCACCATGAGTTGTGGCATTCCGTCCTAGGTAATGACCAGAGGGGATCAGCGCTGGCAGAGCAGATTGACTGCTCCACATTTTGCACGGTTAACGAGGATGCCCCCACCCGAATAAGAGGAGAGTGTCACAGTTCGCCAGACTTAACCATCGTGTCACCCGGTCTGATAAATGACGTGACTTGGCAACCCGTCATTTCTCTTGGCTCAGACCATCTCCCGATAATCGTCTCCATAAGCAGGTCGCCCGATTTTATAACCTCTGAACGCCGCACTTTCCTTAACCATGGGAAAGCTCACTGGCCAGAGTTCAGAGAATTCACCAACCGCCACTTCAGAGAACTGCCCAACCCTTCTGATGTTCGGGTAGCAGAAAGGATTTTCCGAAACATCATCAGAGCTGCAGCCGCTCGCTATATACCTGCTGGTCGAATACCCGAGATAAGACCAAACTTCCCAGCAGAGGCAGCGGGATTAGCAAACGAGCGTGATGATCTCCGTCGTACCAACCCTACTGATCCTAGAATCAGTGATTTGACAGTGGAAGTCAACCGGTTGGTACAGGAGCATAAGAGGAAAAAGTGGCTAGACCATCTGAAGTGCTGCAACATTGGAACCGATATGAGTAAGCTGTGGGTAACGGTTAAGTCGCTCTCGAACCCTGGAAAAAAGGATGATAGGACCTCAGTCACTTTTAACGACGTAACGGTGACTGATCCGAAGAGGTGCGCGGAATATTTTAACCGACAATTTGTCGAGCACCCCGAGAGTGATAGGGCGAAGCGAAGAGTACTACGTCGTATCAGATCTCTTCCCGCCGAGGAGGAACCACCACAGTTTACGATGGGTGATGTTGCAAATGTCATCCGTAACGCTAAGTCATCCAAAGCGTTGGGCCCGGACGGGAGTCGAGTACTTAACGAAAGTTCTCAATTTGTCGCTAGCCACCCACATAGTGCCCGAAACCTGGAAAATGGGCCGGGTGGTCCCGCTACTGAAGCCAGGCAAGGATGCCAGTAAAGGCGAATCGTACAGGCCGATTTCGCTTTTGTCGCCAGTAGCAAAGACTCTTGAGGCTTTACTCCTCCCCAGCATTAGAGGAAGCTATACAGTTGCCAACCACCAGCATAGATTCCGTCCACAACATAGTACCACAACAGCATTACACGCCATTTCCACACATATTAGTAGAGGACTGAACCAGAACAAGCCGTGTGACAGAACAGTGTTGGTAGCCCTTGACCTATCAAAGGCATTTGATACGGTCAATCATGCCACACTGTTTGAGGATGTACAGAGAACTACCCTCCGGCCAAGTTTGAAACGTTGGATAATCAACTATATGTGTGGACGCCAGTCGTACGTGGAATTCCGGAACAAGAAGTCCAAAGCCCGTAGAGTGAAACAGGGAGTTCCCCAAGGCGGGGTGATATCTCCGGAACTGTTTAACCTCTACCTTTCCGGAATTCCTAGCCCTCCAGACGGCATTGAGATCGTAACGTATGCGGATGATTGTACGATCATGGCGTCGGGTCCAGTGGTCGATGACATATGCGAAAGGTTGAACCCCTATCTCGCGGAGCTTGCCGCATACTTCCACGCGAGGAATATGAAAATATCCGCCACGAAATCAACGGCCACACTCTTTACCACATGGTCTGCGGAGATGAGAACACAGCTGAATGTTCAGGTCGAGGGGAATTTAATACCGACCACGAACTACCCCAAGATTCTTGGGGTAACGTTCGACAGCATGTTCAAGTCGTCCGCGCAAGCCACAGCTATCTGCGACAAGATGAAAAGTAGGAACAAGGTCCTCAAGGCGCTAGCCGGCAGCTCTTGGGGTGCGGACAAAGAAACCTTGTTGACCTCTTATAACGCGATAGGTCGGTCTGTGGTCAACTATGCGGCTCCAGTGTGGTCTGCGAATACTAGTGCTACGCAGTGGAAGAATATCCAGACCTGCCAGAACGCTGCCCTGAGAACTGCGACAGGGTGCCTCCTCATGACACCAGTGGACCATCTACATGAGGAGGCGAAAGTCCTTCCCTTACGTCAGCACAATCATATGCTTTCGTTGCATTACCTGCTTGGGTGTTACCGTGAGAGCCATCCCAACCATCATATGGTGGATAACTCTCCCCCACCCAGGCGTGTCAGGAAGGACATACATGATCTAGAGAGGGAGGTCCAGCGCTACAAGAGAGAGCCTCTAGATCAAGAAGCCTATCAGGCAGGTCTGAGTGGCATTCACACCGATGCAGTCGCGGATGCTATTAGCAGTTATAAAGTGAATGCCGTCCTCGGAGTCCACCCCCCATCCATTGCAGCCGAAGAACGTCAGCTGCCTAGACAAACCAGGGTAGTTTTGGCGCAATTACGTTCAGGATGGTGTAGTCGCCTCAATTCGTATTGGGCACGAATTGATGAAGATGTGCGTGACGCCTGCCCGGCGTGCGATACAGGCCCGCACAATACGCTACACCTTTTTAATTGCTCAGCCAAACCTACCCAACTCACTTCAGAGGATCTCTGGCTACAGCCCGTTAAAGTAGCCGAATTTCTAAACCTGGAGCTGGAACCAGATTAGCAGAACACAAACACACACATGTACTACTGCTACATCAACAACAACAACAACAACCGATATTCGGTATTTTTATTATTTTTGCAAAAATTTTCACGGATTTGTTTGAAAAATGGTATTTATTAGTTATAATGCGTTCTAGCTCCGGTGGCGAAAAATTGAATGTTAAGTCCAAGTTTTGGTATAGCCCTCATATAACGGTACCTGCCGATATTCGATATGTTGATGATTTTTGCAACACTTTTCCGCTGATTTGTCTAAAAATTGGTATTTGTAGTTCATAATGGGTTCTAGCCTGGTGGCAGAAAATTGAATATTTAGTTCCACGTTTTCCCATAGCGCACATATTACGATACCAACCGATATTCGGTATTTTAATAATCCTAGTCACTTTTACGCACATAAAAATTTGTCCATAGAGGTTCCCGTTTTGGTATGGCCACATAAACAGCCTCATTCCCTTTTTGGTTTATAGATAAGTTTACCTAAGGTGGTGGGTATTAAAAGTTCGGCCGGGCCGAATTTAATGTTTTTTTTCTTGTTATATTTATAGCTTATAAGAGTTTTGCTAAATTTTTCTTCGAGAACGAATATAAAGCATTTTTCGGGAACTACGTCAGTGCACAATAATTATCTGTCCTAAGTCGAAAAAATTACTTACATATAGTACTATGCAGCACTGTATAAAATCATCAAAATATATTTATCCCCTTCCAAAGCGATCAAATTTCCGTATTAGCATATCTATAATATTATCAGATAGGCGATATCCAAAGGATGTTAAAGCTGTTTTAAGTTCTGTTTTGTCTATGTTGCCGGAATTGTCACGATCAAACGAACGAAAACAATTTTGCCAATCTGTCACATATTTCCAAAGAGATCCAAAATCTTGGAATGATACTGTTCCTCTGTTCTCACGATCAAACATTCCAATCATTAAACGGACTGTTTCTGGATTAAATGGACTCCAAGTTCCATTAGACAGTGCTAGTTGCAGCTCATCCGCAGATATATACCCACTACGATCCTTATCAACACTAAAACAATAATTTTTTAAAATTATTATTGATTATGAATAATAAACAATCCTTTTTACCGTGAAAACACATCCCATAAGAATTGTTGGTCGGGCATTTGCGAATGATTCATAAACGACATCTTATTGTCAATGATTTCTCTAAATAAGCAATTAGTGCTGACATATAGATCTTAATACCCCATAAAGGGTCGATTTTCGAGTTTTTAGGTGTTTTTCAAAAAGTACTGGTATAAAAATACCAAAAAAATACCAATATAACACAGACCCGTAAAAGAGTAATAGTTTAATAGCAGGTGTGACAGGTAGAGCCGTATTGTGGAAAGTAAATCTTCCAGAAAAACAACATACTGCTACGACCACAGAAAATCATTTATCGCTCCATTCAACTGAACTGTGAATCCAAATTCATTTTCGAAAAAGCAATGCCTTTGTCATTCCGTTGTAACATCCCTAAATATTCGTCATTGGCCCCATAAAATATATATATTCATAATCAGCATAAAATTCTAAGTCGATTTAACGATGTCCGTCTGTCTGTCTGTTTGAATTACGATACAGCCCACCATATTTAACGTAGAGCGTCAAAATTTAGCAGAACAGTTTGTATTGTGTCTAAGATGGTTGGTATTGAAGATGAGATATATCAGTCCACGTTTTAGGATAGCCCCCATGTAACGGTACATCCCGATATTCGGTATTTTTATGATTTTTGCAAAATTTTTCACGGATTTGTTTATTAATTGGTATTTGTTAGTTGGGTTCTACCTCCGGTGGAGAAAAATTGTATGTATAGGTCCACGTTTTGGTATAGACCCCATGTAACGGTACCTCCCGATATTCTGCATTTTGATGATTTTTGCCAAATTTTTTCACGGATTTGTCTAAAAATTGGTATTTGCGGGTCATAATGGTTTCTAGCTCGTGTGACGAAACATTGTATGTATAGGTCAACGTTTTGGTATAGCCACCATATAACGGTACCTCCCGATATTCGGTATTTTTATTATTTTTGCAAAAAATTTTCACGGATTTGTTTGAAAAATGGTATTCGTTGGTCATAATGGGTTCTAGCTCCGGTGGCGAAAAATTGTATGTATAGGTCCAAGTTTGGTATAGCCCTCATATAACGGTACCTGCCGATATTCGATATGTTGATGATTTTTGCAACATTTTTCCACTGATTTGTCTTAAAATTGGTATTTGTAGTTCATAATGGGTTCTGGCCCGGTGGCAGAAAATTGAATATTTAGTTCCACGTTTTCCCATAGCGCACATATTACGATACCAAACGATAATCGGTATTTTAATAATCCTAGTCACTTTTACGCTCATAAAAAATTGTCCATAGAGGTTCCCGTTTTGGTATGGCCCCATAAACAGCCTCATTCACTTTATTGTTTATCGAATAAAAATGTTGGCTTAACTCTAGTTTAGTAAAAACTCTTCAATTTTTTCGAAATTTTTTCCAGTGGTAGGTATTTTTACCCTGATCCCGGGAAACAATTTTTTTCTTACGGGACGGACCTGGGACCCCAGATTTTTGACCCGAAAGTCCGGGTTCAAGACCCCGACTAGGCCCGGATCCAATTACCTGATATAGGCAATATGGATATCGTTGGAAAGCTTATGAAAATACCTATCCAACACATGATGGGGTAAGATATTACGGTTCGGAAGTTATAGTCAAATTATCGATTTTTTGGACCCATATTTTTTATAAAACCCCCAAAAAGTCAAAAAAGGGTCCATTATGGGGGACAACAAAATTGATGCCAAATTATAGCTGACACTCTTACCTTTCCAAAATGCTACAACTTGTGCTAATACCTTTTCTGAGTCCAGAGATATGGGTCTTTCCGGCTTAAGTTGAGTTTAGGGGCTATGCTTGGATTGACCTGAAATTTTTACCGCAGGTAGGTATTTGTAACCTGATTACGGCAATATAATTTTTTTGTGGGGGAAATACCCGGTTACCCGGTTATTCGACCCAAAAGTTCGGATACAACAGCCGGTTTATATCCGGTTCTACGTATCCGATATCAATAAAATGGGTGAAAGCTTATGAAAATACCTATCCAACAAGTGGTCATATGATATGGGGTTACTGGAACCGGTTTCGGAGAAATTTAGGAAAATTTGCATTTTTGTATGATTACTTTTTGAAAAACCCATAAAAACTTGAAAATGGACCCATTATAGGGTCTTAAAATCTATACACTATATTATAGCTAACACTATTGCCTTTCCAATGTGTTGATATCTTTTGTAGTTCCGAAGATATTGACTTTTAAAGTCGTTACTTATGAAAGCAGTTTGAGTGAAGCCAAGTTTTGTGTCGGGTTTAACGTTCTTGTTAATATGCTTTGTTTTTAATTGGGTGTTGTTAGAATATTATGGATCGCGTAGCCGGTGTTGGACATACCCCAGAGGAGAAAATCTTAAGCCCCGGCCGAAGGCCGGCTACTTACAAAAATTACAATTTTTAGAAAAACTATGGATCGCGTAGCCGGTGTTGGACATACCCCAGAGGAGAAAATCTTAAGCCCCGGCCGAAGGCCGGCTCCTTACAAAAATTACAATTTGTAGAAAAACTATGGATCGCGTAGCCGGTGTTGAACATACCCCAGAGGAGAAAATTTTAAGCCCCAGCCGAAGGCCGGCTACTTACGAAAACTACAATTTTTAGAAAACTATTGATCGCGTAGCCGGTGTTGGACATACCCCAGAGGAGAAAATGTTAAGACCCAGCCGAAGGCCGGCTACTTACAAAAATTACAATTTTTAGGAAAACTATGGATCGCGTAGCCGGTGTTGGACATACCCCAGAGGAGAAAATCTTAAGCCCCGGCCGAAGGCCGGCTACTTACGAAAACTACAATTTTTAGAAAACTATTGATCGCGTAGCCGGTGTTGGACATACCCCAGAGGAGAAAATCTTAAGCCCCGGCCGAAGGCCGGCTACTTACAAAAATTACAATTTTTAGAAAAACTATGGATCGCGTAGCCGGTGTTGGACATACCCCAGAGGAGAAAATCTTAAGCCCCGGCCGAAGGCCTGTTGCTTAAAAAAGCTAAAAAGGTCAAAGTCAAATGCATCTAGACTGGAGAAAAATATAATTTAATGAATTCTGTCTAGTGTATAGATTTTAAGACCCTATAATGGGTCCATTTTCGAGTTTTCAAAAAGTAATCATACAAAAATGCAAATTTTCCTAAATTTCTCCGAAACCGGTTCCAGTAACCGTTTTTATTTTTATTGATATCGGTTACGTAGAACCGGACATAAACCGGATGTTGTATCCGAACTTTTGGGTCGAATAACCGGGTAACCGGGTATTTCCCCCACAAAAAAATTATATTGCCGTAATCAGGTTACAAATACCTACCTGCGGTAAAAATTTCAAAATGATCCGAGCATAGCCCCTAAACTCAACTTGCTCCCGCGTAAGCATCAAATTCAGAAATCTTTGGTTTGCGTTAGCCGGTGTTGGACATACCCAAAGGAAAAAATCTCAAGCCCCGGTCGAAGGCCGGCTATTTACAAAAAGTGCCAAATTTAGAAAACGTTTGTTATTCCGACGACTGCTACGCGAAATAAACCCTTTTTTATTGAAAACATCATTTTAATGAACTGGTTAGAATCGGGTTATGCAGATGGAAAGACCCATATCTCTGGACCCGAAAAAGGTATTAGCACAAATTGTAGCATTTTGGAAAGGTAAGAGTGTCAGCTATAATTTGGAAACAATTTTGTTGACCTCCATAATGGGCCCTTTTTTGACTTTTTGGGGGTTTCATAAAAAATCCGGGTCCAAAAAATCGATATTTTGACTATAACCTCCGAACCATGACAATAACCTCCGAACCATAGGTATTTCCATAAGCTTTCAATCGATACCCATATTGTCTATATCGGGTAAGTGGATCCGGGTCCAGGCGGGGTCTTGATCCCGGATTTTCGGGTCAAAAATCTGGGGTCCCGGGTCCGTCCCCCAAGAAAAAAATAGTTTCCCGGGATTATGGTAAAAATACCTACCTCTGGAAAAAATTTCGAAAAAATCGAAGAGTTTTTACTAAACTAGAGTTGTTCCTTATATTTATAGCTTATAAGAGTTTTGCTATATTTTTCTTCGAGAAGGAATATAAAGCATTTTTCGGGAACTACGTCAGTGCACAATAATTATCTGTCCTAAGTCGAAAAAATTACTTACATATAGTACTATGCAGCACTGTATAAAATCATCAAAAAGTATTGTTCCCCTTCCAAAGCGATCAAATTTCCGTATTAGCATATCTATAATATTGTCAGATAGGCGATATCCAAAGGATGTTAAAGCTGTTTTAAGTTCTGTTTTGTCTATGTTGCCGGAATTGTCACGATCAAACGAACGAAAACAATTTTGCCAATCTGTCACATATTTCCAAAGAGATCCAAAATCTTGGAATGATACTGTTCCTCTGTTCTCACGATCAAACATTCCAATCATTAAACGGACTGTTTCTGGATTAAATGGACTCCAAGTTCCATTAGACAGTGCTAGTTGCAGCTCATCCGCAGATATATACCCACTACGATCCTTATCAACACTAAAACAATAATTTTTGATATTATTATTGATTATGAATAATAAACAACCCTTTTTACCGTGAAAACACATCCCATAAGAATTGTTGGTCGGGCATTTGCGAATGATTCATAAACGACATCTTATTGTCAATGATTTCTCTAAATAAGCAATTAGTGCTGGCAAACATACGATGGCAATTTCGATAGCATCGATACTCTATTCTTTATAGCATGTTTCCATTGGAAACCGAACAACGTTGTTCGCTCTCAGAATTATAGCATGTTCCCATTGGAAACCGAACAACGTTGTTCGCTCTCAGAATTAGGTACACGAATTAACCCGTTCATACGGCACGATTCGTAATTCATAGTAAAATAATTCCTTTTTTCAAAAATTTTGTTTCTTGATTTTAATGGGAATTTATACTAAAATACATTAAATTCTCACTAATATGAATAAAAGAAATGATTGTTTTTCTCCCAAATATGTATTATATCAATAATTTTATAATTTTCATTCACGTTTTCAACTTTTTGTGTAAATCTTGACATTTTGAACATATTTTTGTGTTTTTCCATTTTTAAATTCTACTGGAGAGACACTTGTCAAA